ACCAGCATGGGTGGCCGCGTGTCCCCGGGCCTTTTGCCACACAGTCCCATCATGAGTGGGCAAAGGCCTGGTGACACAGGGGCCACCCATGCTTTTTCTCTCTTGTAAGCCTTTCCCTTCACTATGTCGGTTGGTTGGCTGTTGGCCTCATGTTCTCCTTCCTTACACTGACTCAGTGACATGGAGTAAGTCCCGGCCCTGGTGCTCTCCAAACCACGTGTCCTTCCGGTTCCCGTCCGTCGTGTTCTTGCTCATTTCCCTCCCACGCTGCTGTTTGTATTCAGAAGATGCAGGCAATTCCTTCGGATCCAGGGCTCAGTCTTCCAGCAGAGGCAACCGGTGGCGTGTCCCATGGCTAACTACTCCTGAGGCCTGGCACCCCAAAGCTCCAAGGAGAGAGGCGCCCCCACAGGCTGGCTAGGAAATCTGCCCGTGGCCAGTGTTCTCTGCTCACTTCCGCAGGTGGAGGACAAATAGAACCTTAGCCCCAGCCCAGTTTAAACACTGAGTCATGGCCCAGCTGGTGTTAGTGGTTGAGCTTCGGTCCATGAACCAGGAGGTCATGGTTTGATTCCCAGTCAGGACACCTGCCTGGGTTGTGGGCTCGATCCCCTGAAGCATGTGTGCAGGAGGCAGCTGATCGATGTTTCTATCGCTCTATTCCTCTCCTTTCCTCTCTCTCTAAAAAATCAATTTAAAGCCCTAACCCAGTGGTTCTCAAACTTCTGGCCCTTTAAATACAGTTTCTCATGTTGTGACCCAACCATAAAGTTATTTTCGTTGCTACTTCATAACTGCAATGTTGCTACTGTGATGAATCGTCATGTAATATCTGATCTGCAGGATGGTCCTAGGCGACCCCTGTGAAAGGGTCGTTTGACTGCCAAAGGGGTCGCAACCCACAGGTTGAGAACCGCTGCAACCGGTTTGGCTCAGTGGATGTAGCGTCGGCCTGCGGACTCAAAGGTCCCAGGTTCGATTCCAGTCAAGGGCATGTACCTTGGTTGTGGGCACATCACCAGTAGGGGGTGTGCAGGAGATAATTGATCAATGTTTCTAACTCTCTATCCCTTTACCTTCTTCTCTGTAAAAATCAATAAAATATATTTTTTAAAAAAAAAAATTTTAAAAATTGGGTCATGAATGCCTTGCAGGATATGCAGCCTGGTTCTCCTTGGTTAGGATGAGAAGGAAGTCAATAAAAAGCCTGGGGGCGGGGGTGGGAGGATGGCCTCACAAAAAAGGTGCGCCCTTGCTAACCCCACAACAGTTTCCTTGGAGACTGGGGAACAAGATGCCCAGGTCCTCAAGTCACGTGCTCTGTGTCCCCAACTACACTTACTGGTAAGAGACCGTCTAGACCAGCAGTTCTCAACCTGTGGGTCGCAATCCCTTTGGGGGTCGAATGACCCTTTCACAGGGGTCGCCTAAGACCATCAGAAAACACATATATAATTACATATTGTTTTTGTGATGAATCACTATGCTTTCATTATGTTCAATTTGTAACAATGAAAATATATCCTGCAGATCAGATATTTACATGCCGATTCATAACAGTAGCAACATGACAGTGATGAAGTAGCCACGAAAATAATTTTATGGTTGGGGGGGTCACCACAACATGAGGAACTGTATTATAGGGTCGCGGCGTTAGGAAGGTTGAGAACCACTGGTCTAGACCTAAGAGCGTTCAGACAGATAGAGCTGGAGAGCCTGACCCAGGACCAAGGCTGTGGTCAGACCCCTCCGACTCCCCTATAGCAGCAGACCTGTGCTTTGCCTCTTCATCAGCCACAGCACTGGCCTCCCTTGTCTGGGACCCTCCCAATGGCCGAGTCTCGCTGAGGTACAGACTCTACCTGAGGAGGAAGCCACACCCTGGCAGGTCCTGTGTGAGAGGGGCTGGGGGCCAAGCCTCGATGGTGGAGTGGGATTTAGGGAGAATCGGGAGTCCATTCCAGAACGGAGCCAACCAGAAGCGAGTCAGAGGACGAGCAGGACATTCTGAGCTTTGCAGGTGACCAGCGGTCACTCTCTCCTGTGGCCTGGCTTGGTGGCTTTGAATCGGAACCATCTATGAACGGCTCCAGTTGTTCAGAGCTCCACAGAGGGCCCTAAGAAGGTTCAAGGAGTGACTTGTCAAGATTACAAAGGGCCCTAGGCGGTTTGGCTCAGTGGACAGAGCGTTGGCCTGCAGGCTGAAGGGTCCCAGGTTCGATTCCAGTCAGGGGCACATGTCCGGGTTCCAGCTCGATCCCCAGTAGCGGGGGGGGTGTGCAGGAGACAGCTGATCCATGATTCTCTCTCATCATTGATGTTCCTCTCCCTCTTTCTCTCTCTTCCTCTCTGAAATAAAAATTAAAAAGACTTATTGTTTGAAAAAAAGATTACAAAGGAATTAAAACTAAAACCATTAAAACTAAAACCATCTGTTCACGAGTTTTGGGTTGTTTCCTACAACAAACCACTGTACTTGTATCCCGTGCCAAAATGCGCTGTGGTTTCTAAGTTGCATTATTTTCTGTTTCCCTTCCTCTTTTTTTAAAATATATTTTTATTAATTTCAGGGAGGAAGGGAGAGAGAGAGAGAGAGAGAGAGAGAGAGAGAGAGAGAGAGAGAGAGAAACATCAATGATGAGAGAGAATCATGGATCGGCTGCCTCCTGCACGCTCCCCACTGGGGATTGAGCCCACAACCTGGGCATGTGCCCTTGACCAGAATCGAACCTATGACCCTTGAGTCTGCAGGTCGACGCTCTATCCACTGAGCCAAACTGGCTGGGGCCGTTTCCCTTCCTCTTGGATGCCTTGCAGGAGATGTCTGAGCTGCTGTCAAGTGCTTTATGGTTTATAAATTGGCAAAATAGCTTCAACTTCATGTATTTGAAAGGCAGGACATTTAGGATGGCCAAAAGCCAATGTTCTATATTATTATCTTTGTTTTCACTGAAGAGGGAAGGCATCTATTAAGTATAGGAGGCCCTGGCAATGTAACCATCCCTCCATTCTAAAGATTAATTTGGGAATTTGTGAGCCTCAGTAATTGATCGCATGTCCTTTGGGAATAATACATATATTATGTATTTACAACCATACTTAAAACTTTTAGCATTTCCATCTATGACAAAATACAAAACTAAATAACTCATGTGAATTTCAACCCAGTTGAAACAATGTGTGTCTGCAGAATGTCTTGGTCCTTTCTGTTGTATTTGAGCTGTAAAGCTGAAGTTCAAGGCTGAAGCTCTTTCAGTGATAAGGTCTTTAAACCTCAGTTTTCCCTCCCCCTTCCTCCCACATTTAAAGGAAGCCATACCATTGTCACCCTGCCTGATAACTACAAATAAATACATGCTCTTGGCTCCTCTTTTAGAGTTTACCATCAAAATCATCGAATGTTGGTGGATCAAGGTTGCAGATACTTATAAATAGACCATAGTAGTTAACAAAGCAGTTTGAAAGATCATTGGATGGGGCGATTTTAGACACAATACTTTGCAATACAGATAAAAATATTTGTCTATGGCCGGGCCGGTGTGGCTCAGTGCTTGAGTGTCAACCCACAAACCAGGGGGTCAGGGTTTGATGCCTGGTCAGGACACGAGCCGGGGTTGCAGGCTCGATCCCCAGTAGGGGCCGTGCAGGAGGCAGCCGATCCATGATTCTCTCTCATCATTGATATTTCTCTCCCTCCCACTTCCTCTCTCGGAAATCAATAAAAATATATTTTAAAAAAAAATCTGTCTACAGCAGCCCGGGCTACTATAATAAAGTACTGTAAACTGGGTGGGTGGCTTACACAACAAACATTTATTTCTCACAGTTCTGGAGGGTGGACGTCCAAGGTCAAAGTGCCCAGATGGTCTGGCTCTGGGAGGACCCTCTTCTGGGTGCAGGCTGTTGACTTGTCTTTGCATCCGCACATGGTGGAAAGGCAGCAAGCTAGTTCTCTGGCTTCTTCTTATCAAGGCACTAATGGGGTCACGAAGACTCCACTTTCAGGGCCTTATCACCTCCCAAAGGCCCCCCTCCTAACACCATCCAAATTGAGGGTTAGGATTGCAACCTATGAATGGGGGGCGGGGGGGGGGGAGGAAGCAAACAAAAAGTCCATACAATATCTAAGCAGGTAAATGATTATCAAAGGTAAAGAGCATCACCCGGTATGAAAACAGAGCACTTTGCTTCCATGTGTTAACAGACCGTGCCCACCGATGGGAAAGCTGTTTCTCACCATTCCCTCATGGAACCCAGCCACAGGCCCAAGGGAAAAGAGCTAGTGGCATTTTCACAGGCAGCCAATACTCCGTCTGCACAGAAGGGGGCGCTAGATGACATTGAAGCAATTAGTTGAGGAGCTAAGGTTTTTACTTCACTATTTAACTCTGGTACATTCCGTGTCATGTAGACAGATCCCGGGTTGTTGTGTGTGTGTGTGTGTGTGTGTGTGTGTGTGTGTGTGTGTGTGTGTGCGCGCGCGTGTTTATGCCCTATTTATATACATGCCAGTACTTCCTAAAAGTGGAAGTGTAGTTCTTAATTTCAGGATTGCGTGTGTACTTAATAACCACAAGTACAGGAGAATCAGGGCCCCATCTCCTCTACTTGCCACCCTTCTCCCAATAGGATTTCATCCAGGAGCAGAAGGGAGAGAATCAAATGCCAGTGGAGGCACAGAGAGATGAGAAAGATTACTCATTGCATTACATAAATCCCAGTGTCCGATTCCTTTGTCATGTATTGGTGATGCCTTTCGGATGTTGGCCATCCCAAGTGTTGGAGGTTTAAAACCACTCCTGGTGAGACATCTTTGAGAAAGTCTGGGCAGCCAAGCCTCTCCTTCATAAGTTAGGCAGTCACATTTTTGCAGAGAAGAGCCAGTGATGGCGAACCTTTTGAGCTCGGAGTGTCAGCATTTTGAAACGCCCTAACTTAACTCTGGTGCTGTGTCACATATAGAAATGTTTTGATCTTTGCAACCATAGTAAAACAAAGACTTATATTTTTGGTATTTATTTTATATATTTAAATGCCATTTAACAAAGAAAAATCAACCAAAAGAATGAGTTCGCGTGTCACCTCTGACACACGTGTCATAGGTTCGCATCACTGAGCTAGACTGTCTCCTTGAACACCCGGCTATAGGTCACATGATTGTCTGTGGCCAGGGCATTCTTCAGGCACTGCCAGAAGTACGGGTGAGCCTGTGGGTTTGTTGGCCACTCAAGGACAGAACTCCCACAGAGCCTCTTCCGGAGCTGGAGAAACTTGGACTTCTGAAGGGGTTTCTCAAGGAAAATCAAGATAATCACATCCACTTTTTCATCTATGAGCCTCTGATGGGACAAGTAGAAGGCTATCTTAAAATTCTCAGTCTTTGCATACTTGTCTGTCATCACGAACACCGTCTTTTTGCTAAGCTGTATGCTCTGGGTCAGGTTTTCCAGAACTGGCTGCCCGGGCAACCAGTCCCTTTCCTCGAGACATAAATTGAAATGCTTCTCTCTCGGATCTTCCAATCTGGCTACCAGCTCATCCAAAACCCACTCCGTCACTGCTGGGTCTTTAGTGTCATATACAATAAAAGCATCATAGCAAGAGTCTGGGGAGATCAGGCGCTGATACCCCTTTATTTTGGCCTTACAGAAATGGTAACTATACCACACGTCCCAGAAATAGAGGTGGCTCGCTGTCATCACCACCATGAGAAAGAGAGCGGCCGAGATGGAGAGCGAGAACAGAACCAGGTTGGTGAGATCTAACTCACAGGTATACAGATCCAGAGAGACCACACTTTGGCCCTTGTGTGCTCCTGGCCCCACACAAGTCACATCGGTGGCTAGGTGAGGAATGGTCACCTCGGTATGGTTAATCCACCAGACAAACCACACTGCGTCACAGGTGCACAAGAAGCGATTGTGATGCAAAAGCAACATCTCCAGTTTATTGAGGACGTTTTCTGGAAAGCTAGTCTTTTGGATGATCTGTATTTTATTGGAGCTGAGGTCCAGATAGCGCAACTGGAAAGCATCTTGGAGAAAAGACTTGGTCAGATACCTGATGAGATTATTGTGAAGAATTAGTTTCTGGATGCTGCTCGAACAGTTGGATAATCTCTGAGGGACCGTCTTCAGCAGGTTGTAGCTGAGGTCCAAAGTTTCTAGATTCTTCAGATACTGGAGTTTCCCCCAATTGAAAGACTTGAGCCCATTTTTGACCAAAAGGAGAGTCTTTAGCTGTGGAGGCATACCATCAAAAACTCCAGGAGGCAAGAAACTCAGGGAATTTGCAGAGATATCCAATTCCTCCAAGTTGACCAGATTCTTGAAGAAATTTAAGTATCTGTCATCACCATCTCTCCATAAAATATCCAAATGATTTCCTCTGAATTCCAGAGTTCTCAGGGATTCGCTCTCCATGGTCCTGCTGGTGGAGGTAGAGATGGCATTGTCATTCATCATCAGTTTCTTGAGAAACTTGAGGTTCTTGGTAAAGTTTAGCATGTGAGTAAGTCCTTCTGATTGAAAATAATGGCTGTTACTACTTATATCTAGAACTTCCAGGCTGTGCAGCCCATCAAAGGCTGTTGAGTAGAGTAAGTCAAGCCGGTTGTTAGAGAAGTCCAAATATTGCAGCTGCGCTAAAGGCTGAAATTCACTCCCATTAAGAGTTTGGCTGATGCTATTTCCTGACAAGTTTAGGCATTTGAGGAAAGAAAGATGCTGAAAGTCAGAGGACCTGATGAAAAATATGCTATTTTTACTTAGGTCCAATGCCTGCCCATATTTGTAACACTCGTCATTAAAACTCATGAAAGGAGGTTCTTTGTTTTTGTATCTGCAACTCCTTGCGTCTTCATCATATTTGAAATAATGTAATTCTTCAAAGAGCCGGGGCTCATGAGGTCCTACAGAAGTTCTAGTGTTAGAGCAGAAGCCAACTTCACTTGCATCTCCTGAAGGTGATATTTTATTCACGGAAAGGTCTATCCTTTTCAATGTTTGAAATTGTTCGAATATGCTGAGGTTAGCAATTTTGATAAAATTGGTGCCCAGATCAAGAACTTCAAGATTGGTAAGACTGTGGATTGGGGAGAGATCAACGAATTTCAGCTCCTTAAAGATGTAGCCTCTGATGTGCAAAACTTTCAGGTTTTTCAGGGAAGAAAACGCATCTGACAGTTTCATATACTCATGATAGACCTGAAGTTCAAAATTGAAAGACAGATCCAACTGGACAAGGTTGGGAAGAAAATGCAAAAATTTGGCATCCCCGATTTCTCTGGCCAAGTAGTTTTGGGAAAGATCTAGTTCCTTAAGTTTGTTGAGGTTTTTAAACCATCTTTGGGGCACAGTCTGAAGAGAGTTACTGTGGAGACGTAAAACTTGTAATTCTGTCAACCCATCAAAAGCATTTGGATGGATCTGGAGGGGAGAATTATTTGCACAGGGTGTGCAAGGAAATGGGACGTTATAACAACGCGGGCAGTTCCCACTTAGGTCAAGAAGTTGCAGTTGATTGAGGTTCTTAAAATCATCTTCTTGGATTTGTGTAATGATGTTGTTGTGAAGATAGAGTTTTGTTAGAGCAGATGGCAACACCGCCGGAACGGCTGTAACATTGTTATCTTTTAGGGAGAGCAGTTTTAAATTGAGCAGTTTTTGGAAAGCATCTCTTTCGATGAAAAATGAAACGTTACAAGGATTGCGATAATAACAGTTTTGGCCCAGGTAGAGTTCTTCTATGTTCGCCAGTTCCGTTAGATTACTCTTATGGATGGAAAAGATGTTGTTGGCTTCGAGGCTCAGCAGCTGTAAGCTGGAGGGAAGACCTAGGGGTATTTCTAAAAGCTGGTTTCCATCCAGGTAAAGGGATTTTAGATACGGGAGTCCACTAAAGCTCCCGGGGTGAACCTGTAGTTTCCTGGTGCAAATGTTGTCTTTCGGCCCCAGTCGAATGGGTACACAGTTGCATCTGAAATCGATCTCTATCAGCTGGTCCAGCCGTTGGAAGGAGGCGGGAGAGATGTCTGGTATGTGGTTGATGGTGAGGGTGAGGTTGGTGGTGTTGGTAGGAATGCCTTCAGGAATTCCCGTCAGATGCTTGTCCGTGCAGTCCACAATCACTTGGGCATTTGGAGTATCCACACTGACATCACAGGGCAGAGTTTTAGGAAACCATCTGGCCCCAAGCTTGGAAATGAGGATCATGTTAAAAAGGATAAGAAATTGTCTCTTCCAAGTCCGCACTGGAAACACCTGAAAGTTGAAGAAAGAACAGATCACCATTCTACAATAGAACAAGAATCAGAACTGAACATTCCCGTTTGCTGTCTCTCTTTTTAAAATCAACAACTCAGCCCTGGCCAGGGTCACCAGTTGGTTGGGCGTCGCCTCATACACCAAAGGGTTACAGGTTTGATTCCCAGTCAGGGCACGGGCCTGGGCTGCAGGCTCCATCTCCAGTCGGGATCGTGGAGGAGGCAACCCATCAATGTTCCTCTCCCTCTCCCTTCCTCTTTCTCTACAAATCAATAAACTCTTCTTTCAAGAAATAATAAAATAAGCAACTCAGGTATTTTCTCAACTGTCTAAACAGCACCCCCACCCATGATTGTATTTGTCAGTCACTGAGGTTCATCATAATTCCGCTACATATTTAGCTTTTAGCATCTTAGCTTTCAGTGACATAGCTTTTCAGGTGCTAGAAGCGGCATTTTCCTGGTCACCGTTATCTAAGTGCTACAATGGAAGAGAAATCAATTAGCTGCCAAAGTGTGAAACTTGGGGGTGAAGGAATGTTAAAATGCAAATACATCTGGAAAGAAAAAACATTAAGACTTTAGTGTGGCCCTGGCTAAGTAGCTCAGTTGGTTAGAGCATCATCCCGATACACCAAGGCTGTGGGTTCAATCCCGGGTCAGGGCACGGACAAGAATCAACCAATGAATGCGCAAAAAATAAGTGGAACAACAAATCAATGTTTCCTTCTCTCTCTCTCTCTCTCTCTCTCTCTCTCTCTCTCTCTCTTCCCCTCTTTCCTTCCTCTGTCTCTAAAATCAATAAATTCTTTAAAAAGACTCTAGTACAATTAATGTTTGCTTGCTAAGTTTGCTCTGGTACACATTACAAGAATCTTTCACAATATTTGAACCACTGGCTTTCCTCTTGGATTAAAAACAATGTTTTTAATCGTCACCTAAGGGTATGTTTTTATTGATTTTTAGAGGTAGAGGTAGAGATAGAGAGATAGAGAGGGAATGGGGAGAGAAAAACATTGATGTGAGAGAAACATCGATTGGTTGCTTCCCATACACGCCCCAACTGGGGATCCAACACACAACCTAGGTATGTGCCCTGACTGGGAATCAAACCCACAACCCTTTGGTGTATGGGACGACACTCCAACCAACTGAGTCCCCTGGCCAGGGCTCCTCTTGGATGTTTTTTGCAAATCATCACCAAGGTGATTCTGGAATGAACATTTTCACATTGAGTTTATATTATATAAATTTGGAAAGGAGTGGAGAGTCAGGCATTGCCTAGGTGGCCCCTAACGGATGGAACAGGATAGATACTGAGGCGAGTGAAGGCAGGAAAATTGGGACATCTGGGAACCTACCCTTAATGAAGTTTCTTGGGCATTCGGGTTTAACACAAGAGACACTTGGACCCTGGGGAGAAAGACCTTAAAAGGGAATATGGAAGCACTGAAGAACTTTGCTAATCACCCTATCACCTTGAAGCTGCCCTGCCTTTATTTTTTTTTAATATATATTTTATTGATTCTTTACAGAGAGGAAGGGAGAGGGATAGAGAGTTAGAAACATCGATCAGCTGCCTCCTGCACACTCCCTACTGGGGTTGTACCCGCAACCAAGGTACACGCCCCCGACCAGAATCGAACCTGGGACCCTTGAGTCCACAGGCTGACGCGCTATCCACTGAAGCAAACCGGTTGGGGCAAAGCTGCCCTGCCTTTGAGGGTGGTTGAACCAAGGACTTGCTCTCAAGTTTCATCATTTCTATCAATACTTCCCTCCAGACAACTAGATTGCAGATGGGCCTGTCTCTCTGATTCCCCTTCTCCTCTACAATCCACTCATCAAATGGCATCAGAGCATGTTTTTTGTAAACATGAATCAGATCAAGTACAATGGCTTCCTATTACACGTTGAATGAAATTCAAAGTCTTCACCATGGCTTAGATCATGAATGTCCTGACTCCAGCCCACCTCTCTGACCTTGAACCGTCTTTCCCCTTCTTTGATCACATGCCAGACATCTGGCCTGCTTTCTGTTCTGCATTTAAGCCAGTTGTGACACTTGCTGTTCCCTCTTCCTGAAATGATCATTTTCTTCCTCTTCTCACAGACAAGTCATTGCCATCTTTTTTTAAAAATATATTTTATTGATTTTTTACAGAGAGGAAGGGAGAGGGACAGAGAGAAACATCGATGAGCAAGAAACATCGATCAGCTGCCTCCCACACGCCCCCCACCGGGGATATGCCGGCAGCCAAGGTACATGCCCTTGACCGGAATCGAACCTGGGACCCTTGAGTCCGCAGGCCAATGCTCTATCCACTGAGCCAAACCGGTTATGGCATCATTGCCATCTTTGAGGTGATTGCTTCACTGACACATCCTCAAAGAGGCTTTCTTTGGCCAAATAATCACCCCCTTCCGCCCATGTAATAATAGTGATAATAACAATGACAGTAACATTTGTGACCTTACGTAGCACCTACTGCAGTGATGGCGAACCTTTTGAGCTCAGCGTGTCAGCCTTTTGAAAAACCCTAACTTAACTCTGGTGCCGTGTCACATATAGAAATATTTTGATCTTTGCAACCATAGTAAAAGAAAGACTTATATATTTTTTTAAATATATTTCTTTATTGATTTCAGAGAGGAAGGGAGAAGGAGAGAGAGATAGAAACATCAGTGATGAGAGAGAATCATTGATTGGCTGCCTCCTGCAAACCCACCACTGGGGAACGAGCCCACAACCCAGGCATGTGCCCTCGGCCGGAATCGAACCCGGGACCCTTCAGTCCTCAGGCTGACGCTCTATCCACTGAGCCAAGCCGGCCAGGGCAAGACTTATATTTTTGATATTTATTTTATATATTTAAATGCCATTTAACAAAGAAAAATCAACCAAAAAAATGAGTTTGCGTGTCACCTCTGACACGGGTGTTGTAGGCTCGCCATCACTGACCTACTGTATGCTGGGCATCATTTTCAGTGCTTGGCATACGTTAACTCATTTAATCATCACCATAACCTCATGAGGTGCTACTAAAGGTCCTCAATCTTTACCCCGAAACTTTGGGGCTCGATGTGTTTTGGAATTCAGAGTTTTTCAGATTTTAGAAGATAATATGATGCATGTACCACATACAATGCAATACTCCTAACATGGCCTGGGGCAGCATTCCCTAATCCAGTGGTTCTCAACCTTCTGGCCCTTTAAATACAGTTCCTCATGTTGTGACTCAACCATAAAATGATTTTCGTTGTTACTTCATCACTGTCATGTTGCTACTGTGATGAATCGTCATGTAAATATCTGATCTGCAGGATGGTCTTAGGCGACCCCTGTGAAAGGGTCGTTCGACCGCCAAAAGGGTCGCGACCCACAGGTTGAGAACCGCTGCAGCCTAATCAAACACACCATTTGTTCAGTGAAGCCCCAAACTGCCACTGTAAGTGGGATTTAAAAAAGAAGAGAAAAGGAAGCACTAGCTCATTCAGTTCCGGTCAAGATTCACCCTCACGTGAGCTCAGATCATGGTGTGTTGGCCATCCATGGAGTTAGGACACAGCTTTCAGCTTGGGGATTTTGGAGTCACAGGCCTCTATCACTATCTCCATTTCACAGACAAGTCAACTGAGGCACAGAGAGGTATGTGTACTCTGTGCTTGACGGCCCTGCTTGATGTCCTTCGTAGCCCTTAGCACGATCAGAAATCACCTTGCTGTAATTTATGCGCTGTGATGGATACGCTTAGTTGTTTGGTGTCCATTCTGCATGAGAACATATGCTTCGAGAGAGCAGGGCTGCGCCTATCCTTGTGTGGAACAATACCTGGCAGTTAATTAGTGCTTACAGGTATTATGATGTGTGCTAAATGCACGAGTAAATGAATAGTGGAATAAAGCAAAACACTTAAAAGAAAGTTCTCCTTGAAGTAGGTTGCTTCAGGCTCTACCCCCAGACTCCCCAGGGTCATGTTCTGCATTTTCTATTTGCCCCAGGATTCTTGGAGGAAAGATGTAAGAATATCTGCTTTTGTAATGCTCGGTTGAAGCCTGTCTTCTTTAAGAAGCCTTCTGGGAGCAACCCAGACAGAAGTCACCCCTCCACCCACATCTCCTATTGCAGTGATCACACGTGAGCTTGGGAAAAGAGCTCGGGATTGAGGGTTGAAGGAACTGGGTCCTCGTCCTGGCTCAGTAGTTCACTACCCTTGTCCCCTTCTGAGGCAGGCCCTGTGCTCAGAAGACCACCCCCTACAAGAAAATGACAGACACAGAAACAATGACATGGGCTACGCCAAGGACCCAGACAACCCTCCTGGACCAAGACAATGAACCAGAACCAGAAAGTTCTGCAACAATTCCTTAGCTAGGAATTGTACCAAGTATCTGTGAGAAAGAATTTATTTTAAGAAATCAGAATTCCACTGACTCATATTCATTCATTCATTTGATAAATACTTCTTGAATACCTACCAGGGGCAGCAGACATACTCTCTGCTCTTAAAGAGCTCAAAATCTAGCGGAGGAGAGAAATATATAGATGTAAAATACATTGAGACAGCATGGAGGGACCTGGAGAGTATTATGCTAAGCGAAATAAGCCAGTCAGAGAAAGGTAAACATTACATGATCTCACTTAGAAGTGGACTCTAATGAACAAAAACTGACAAAATAGATCCAGAGACATGGAAGCATGGAACAGAGTGAGGATCCTCAGAGGGAATGGGGGTGGGGGAGGGAAGAGATCAACTAAAGAACCTGTATGCATATATGCATAACCCATGGACACAGACAACAGTGGGGAGAAGGCCTGGGGAGGGGACAGTAGTGGGGAGGAGGGGGCCAATGGGGTAAAAATGGGACATCTCTAATATTTTCAATAATAAAGATAAATTTTAAAAATACAGTGTGGAAAGACCATTAGTTCTTTCCAGATTAAGATGCCAACACTTATATGCATGTAGCTTAATTATATGTTGTTTTTATTCCATG